CTCGCGATCTTTACAACACGCATTACATTACGTATTTCATGGCACACTCGTTTTATGCGTATTTAGCGCCACCTATTGTTGTGAGTGTATTATTGACATGTAAAACATTGTCTTATATTCGGGTCAATACGGTATATTACCTAAACTGTGTAATGTTATGGATTACGTTACAATATGGATTAAAGTACAATTTTTGGAATCAGTATCGGATTACAATTTTTAAGTTATCTACCCAGCTATGTATGTGTGTGTATATATATATATATATATATATATATATATGTGTGTGTGTGTGTTATAAATAAGTAATGTTTCATAAATTAAAAAAATGTATTATTATAGAACATTTAAAATTTACAGCCCTGGGATAATTAAAATTTCTGGATTAGGTTTCGGACAAGGTTTCAGTGAGTTTTTTCTTGCTTAATTTTTCAATTTTAGGTTCACATATGGTTAAAAATAATAAAATAAAATAGTAGTTTTTTTACTCATGTTCCTGGGATAATTAAAATTTTTGGGTTTGTTTTAGACCATGTTTTAGTCAGTTTTTTTTTCATGCGCAACTTTTAATTTTATGCTCACATATGTTTTAGTTTTGTAAAAAAAATTATAATACTTTTTTATTTTATTAAAATAATAATAAAATACAAAATAATTATCATATATCACATAAATTGAATATAAATTATTATAAATATTTTATTATAAATATTTTTGCACTCACATTCCTGGGCAAAATCAAACAGTGTTTTGCATTTGCGCCTGGGTGTACCCGCTCGGACAGGAAATAGAAAGACACTGAGTTTATTTTTGGGTTTGGCTCGATCACATTCACAGGCTACATTCAGGTTTTCTGCATACCTGTGCAGTCCTCTAGAGTAAGAACGACGCTCGCCTGCATTCAGTAGTTCTCATTTATGTTAACATGTGGTCTGTGGCCCACGAGGGAGGGCAAAGCGGGCCATTTAAAACACTTCGCGAAAGCCAAGCAGCCAAAGAGAAGCCAAAACCCGAAAGCTCAAACAACTGCTGTGCTAATTGTTCTGAGGGTGTGGCGTCTGTGGCTCTGGGGAACGCCAGCCATTTGGTCTGCTCCAAATTTGGCTGTGTGTGTTTGTGTGTATGTATGTTTGTGCGCGCCTGCTTTTTTATGTAATTGAAATGCAAAACATCAGAGACAGCAAACACAAAGCAAATGTTTCACTCCAGGGCTTTGTGTTAACATTCATTTATGTATTAAGTGGATAATAGTTATGTGAAATGAAGTCCAGTGACAACGTTCTGTTCACCCTGAGCTCAAGTATTCGTTCTGCTGTCATCTGGCACTGGGATGGTCCAATCATGTTGCTTGGCAGTCGCCGCTCATTATTTAAGTGCACTAATACCGCTGAGTGTGTACTATTAAAATGAGTGCTTACATGTGTTTCAGAGAGCACACACACAGACACATAGCGCCTATACATGTCTACATAATGTTTATATATGCACAGATGCACATGTGAAATCTGCATATTTGCATAATTTAAGGTGTTAAGAAGGTGTATATGCACATGCATAACGTGTATATTGTAAGGTGTGTGTAACGTCCCGCTCGTGTCTCTTATCGCAGCGCCCAGCGCCGCTCCCAGGGGGGTCACCGTAACGGGAAGCGGAGACAACGGCACAGCTATTCTGGTATCCTGGCAACCGCCCCCGGAGGAGGAGCAGAACGGCGTGGTGCAGGAATATAAGGTACGAACCACAGGAAACAGACAAAGAGAGAGAGAGACAAAGAGAGTATGAAAAAAAAAAAACAGAATGAAGGATGGTAGTAGAGGAAGGAAATAGGAAGTGGAAGAGGAAATTATATTTACTGGCTCACACTCCGTTAATTTTATGATGTGCTGCTGGATGAATGCTGAGAGTGTAGTGGTTAATGGGTTGATTTTCATTGGGGGGAATTTAGATGTTGTGAAATGCTGCCACCTAGTGGTTCACGTGGGGTGTTACCACAATGGCCTTCCAGACAGATGTGATCATAGGGAATGTTTTGATATGTTTGTTTCTTTTGATTTGACTTATTTTGTAGGTTGTTGTTTTTTTTTCATTATTGTATTTATGCCAAAACATTCCTTTATAAGCATTTGAAATTATAAATTAAAATAAATTATAATATTGTATTTAAATAAATATTTGATTATATTGTAATATTGTTCTAAATATTATGTTCTATGTAAAATTTACAATTATTTCTAAATATAATTAAATATAATATAACAAATAAAATAAAAATATATCAGCTAGTTTTCTGTCTTGTTGTGTCTGCTTTGTATTTGATACACAATTGTACATACTAACATATATAATTGCGGCATCAATTTTCTAGCTACCCTGCGTTCCCTCCCTCCTTTCTCTTTATTTTCGTTTTGCGTGTCTTTATGTGCTTTTCATATCCAAACAAGATATGACAGAGGCCATGTTTTTTGTTTTGTTTTGTTTGTTTTTTTGACCAAAGTACAATGTTGTATCAGACGTTGTTTTGACTAGGGCTACTTTCAGACAAAATATCTTTTTGACTGGTTAATAGTGTGCCAAAACGTTACTTCTAAACATGCTGCATTATATTTCATAAGATAATTACGTCTGCGAATTATGAATAAGAATTTTTTTGTAGATGCTTCGTGTCTTTTTGTGTCCCCTTTGTATTTGTAGTCACACACAATCGTACTAGCATATAGTAATACGCAATACATACTAGCAAATATAATTGCGGCAACTGCATGTCTTTATGTGCTTTTCATGTCCAAACAAGATAACAGAGCCCATCTCATACGATATTCCTCTCAGGCTCTTAAATTTTAATGGCTTTGCGGTGTTTCGGTATTTAGTTCGTAGGTCGCGGCTGACGAGAAGAGGTGCGGTTCGAGTCGTTCAGTCCCAGTTAATTTTCCAGGTAAATGTTTTCAGGCAGTTGAAGGAAGGTAGTCAGTAATTTCATGCTTGTTAAATTGGGCAGAGGAGGATTTTTCGCTAATCACTTTTCTTATGCACTTATTTTTTTTCTACCCCATTGTGCCTCAGGAGAACTTCAGAACTATCAGAACGTCCTCGCTCGTTACCTCACTTTCTCTCTTTCGACCCATAATCCACTTTTTTTTCCCTCTGAAGCCTTCAGGGATGTCTAAATCTGGTTAGCATTTCCAAAAAAGGGGACGTCAGCATAGAAAAACATGTAAAAAAGCCTTTTTTCTATGCGTCATTGTGTAGAGCTCAGCGTAGATCAGTGCACTGACCTTATAATCGAAGTTAGACGGCCAGTGAGGGCCGATATCACATTTCACCCCGCTGAATGGGCCCCTGCCGGGCCTGTGATTGTGTTAGGGTGAGGGTGGCTGATCCAAGCTCTGGTCGCACACACACTTTGACACTCATTTGGACGCCACGGCTGGCTGAGCTTCCCGAGAGGAGGAAACAGACCAGGGTTCGGTGCGTGCAATGAAAACAAAGAAAACTGCATTTTCATGTCAGGGAAAATCAGACCTTTGACATGAAGACAGAATGACGGAATGTGGGTACCACAGATAGGGAGTGTTTATTCTAGGTGCTGAATCTTGTTTTCATGACCCGTTTCAACTTTATCGCTACATGATAGTGTCTGAATTGAAGCAGGAGGGCTGATGGAAACATCCAAATAGATTTACTAACTAGCTTTGAGGAAACTCTAGTTTTATTTTAAGGACAGTCGTGCATTATTTTCAGACAAGAAATATTTGTACATGACAATGATAAAGTTAGCGAAACAATTTGTCTATTTATACAAACACAAAAGCTTGGACACACTTTACTGAATTGATGCTTCTCATGATCAAAGTATTTTGATAAAAATGTATTTAAACAATATTACATTTAAACGTATAATAATAACAATAATAATAATTATTATTATTGTTATACATAGGTTTGGAAACACTTGACTGAATCTATGCCTCTTATGATATTAAAAAGATTCTGTTCTAAAGACTTGTTTTAATTCTTGAAATACGTTTTGTAGACAAAATATAGAAATGCATAAATGAATAAATAGTAATAATAATATTTGTTTACACGTTTGAATAAACTTGACTGAATTTATGGTTCTCATGATCTTAAAAATATTTTTTTCAAAGACTTGTGTGCTTTAAATTATTATTTTTTATTTTACAAAATATTATTATTATTATTATTATTATTATTAGGATCATGTGAAGCATAAATTCAGTCAAGTGTGTCCAAACCTGTGTGTAAAAAAATACTATTATTACTATTTATGCTTTAAATGATCTTAATAATAATGCTAATGCTAATAATAATAATAATATGAAATTTTTTTTCCTTTTTTAATTTTTTTTTTATTATGCAAACAGATATACAATTCACAGGTGACAAATCAAATACAAAATAACCAAGGACAACAAAACATACATGACAGCCAACATGATTTGTGTGTGTGTGTGTGTGTGTGAGGGGTAGAAGTATATAAACAAACGAACATGTAGAAAACAGACATAACAATAGTAGAAAACTGTAATAGTAATGATGACAATAGTAATAATGATGATAATAATAGCATTAATAACAAAAATCAGAGGATGGAGGATGAGGAAGGTGATAAGTAATAATAGTAATAGTAATAGCAATAATAAAAAAATTAAAATATTAATAATAAAAAAGGTAATTAATTAATTCAATAATAATAATGAACTCAATTCATCAGAAATGAGGGGAAAGTTGGAGGATGTGGAAGATGACAAATAGCAAAATAATAGTATTAATTAGTAATTAGTAATAGTAGCAATAATAACAATATTAACAATAAACTCATTCATCAGGAACCGGGGGGAGGTTGGAGAAATAAAATGATTTTTATTGAACACTACATCATTTCTATATTTAGATTTGTTTTATTTCATAGTTAAAGAGTTTTAAAGACTTGAAGACTATTAAAATGTCCAAAATAGTAATCATAAAGTAGGTGTGCCCAAACATTTGACTGGTTAAATTGCTTGTAAGTTGTATCCCTTAAAAAGGTTCACTCTTTCAGAAAAGACTTGTTATTCAACATAAATATTTTTTATTAAGTGCTAACCGCTTGTCTCCTATCATGTTTTCTTTACTTTCCCCCTCAGATCTGGTGTCTGGGTAATGAAAGCCGATATCACATTAACCGCACGGTGGATGGATCCACACACTCGGTTCTGATTCCCGGCCTGCTCGCAGGGGTCACGTACAGGGTGGAGGTGGCAGCCAGCACAGGGGCCGGTCCCGGGGTCAAGAGCGAGGCTACGTCCTTCCAGCTGGGTGAGTCGGACCGGGATGTTATTCTGGTTAACCGAGACGCTCGACTCTGCCGGACCGCTGTTATTCAACACTAGCAGCTAAAGAAGAGCACAATATGAATGGTTGATTCATCTGATAACGGGTTACAGAAACACAACAAACACTCTGGTAAGCAGCTACCGGCCCGTTTTAACACCTGGCTGTGTTATTATGGCTGGAAAGGTTTGTGAGAATGGCCATTATTTAAGGCCTGCTCTTTAAAAAACGTACCGTCTACGCTTGTGAATGGCACGGTTGTAACTTGCCTTGTGGTTAGCCATCAAAAAGTATGTAATTTACAAAAACAGCCTTATCGGAGTCCTCGTTCTCATCCGAGAATAAAGGAGACGTCAAGTAAAGTGCAGTTTGCTTTAGTGCTGCAAAGCCTTTAATTGCTTTAAGTTTATTTCTCCATTAACTTACCAGCTTTAACTTGTTCAGCCTCGAGACATCGGTGGAAGCGGTTAAACTGCACTGAATGGAAGTGATTGTGACGCAGCCTGGTGTTGTGCCAATGGACACAGGTGGATAATAGGCCATCCGGTTATGCAAATCTGTTTTTAATAAGATGCCAATCACTGCTGTCAGAAACTAGTTTATAGTCAGTTGTTTGACAGAAAGAGATTAAATGCTCTTTTGAAACCTTGTTGGATGCACAAAGAGATACTCATACAGTAAAGTACACGAAGAAAAACAGATGATCAACTTTTGGACTTGATAGTGCTGATTTTTAATAGTAAGCAGTATATTGTGCATGTAAACGCACACTATGTTGGTCTACATGACAGTTGTGACGAAGGGAGAGGTTTTTGTATTTGTTACTTAAAAAGTAAATAGAAAACTAATGTGCACTATTTGAAAAAGTAACTTGGGTATTACAGGGTAAATTCAGAATTTAGGTAATTTACATTTACATGTAGTGCTGTCAAACGTTTAATCGCGATTAATCACATCCAAAATAAAAGTTTTTGTTTACATAATATATGTCTGTGTACTGTGTATATTTATTATGTATATATAAATACATACACATGCATGTATATATTTAAGATAAATATGTTATGTTTATATATTAAATATATTTATATATAATATAAATATATACATGTAAATATTTTCAAAATATATACTGTATGTGTGTATTTACGTATATATACATAATAAATATACACAGTACACACACATATGTTATGTAAACAAAAACTTTTATTTTGGATGCAATTAATCGCAATTAATCGTTTGACAGCACGTGTATCGCTTTTTCCAAGCAACTTACAAATAAGGAAGTAATTTGCCATTACTTCCAGTACAAAAATCTAATTTTGTTGCATATTATTTGTAAAATATTTCCCACAATGCCGCTCATTTGGGGTATTGTTTTTTTTTTTTTTTAGAAATAAATATTTCATCAAAGACACAGATTGATGAAAAGTAACAGTACAGATGCTTACATTTTTACTAAAGATTCTATTTCAAATAAATGCTGTTCTTTGGATCTTTTTATTCACCAAAGTATTCTGAAAAAATCGCAATTTCCACAAAAATATTAAACAGCACAAAAAAAAAAAACCATCTTAAGCAGCAATTCAGCATATTAGAATGATTTCTGAAGGATCGTGTGACACTGAAGACTGGAGTAATGATGCTGAAAATTCAGCTTTACATCACAGGAATATATTAAATTTTAAAATATATTCAAATAGAAAGCTGTTATTCTAAATTGTAATAATAATTCACAATATTAATATTAAGTTTTTACTGTATTTTTGATCACAAATTTGCTTGGTGAGAATAAGAGACTTTGTTTAAAAACGACCCCAAACTTTTGAACAGTAGTATATATAGTTATTTATTTTTACTTTACGCTGTTTGCAAGCTTTTGAGTAACATTACAGCAGTCGGTTTGTGCAGTGTGGGATGAATGCACTCCGCTCCTCTTGATCGCAGTGACTGATCTGCTTCCATTCCCCTGCTGAGTGTGCTTCTGTGGCCTTACACCGCCGCCGGAAGCAGAGGACGCAGGTCTCTAAAGCATTTGTCACACCGTGGGCTTTCTTGCATCTCTGCATCCTACACACCTGTCCTGGCCTGGCCTCTTAGCGGAGTCTCAGTCACAACCAAACAACAAACAAAACCTCTGAGACAGGACGTTAAGAGGACAGACTCACAAAGACAGAGCAGGGAGTGCAGCGCGACGAGAGAGAGATGCTCAGGTTTTGGGAGAACCTGTTTGCCCCCAGCTAGACAAAAACTGAACATAGTCACAAAGATGAAAGTGACGCCCACATGAAACGCAGAGAGGAAGGGGAAAAGATGAAAAAAAGAAAGAAGTCGACGGAATGAGATTTCTTTTGGGTCGACAGCGCTAGTTTCTCTTTAATGTAGAAATAAGAGAGAGGCAACCGAGAGCGACAGCACAGAAGGGAAGTTGCTTTGTGCTTGCAGTTCTTCCAGACAGCGGCTTGTCATTCATAATTCATCTTTTACATAATATATAAAAGCACGGAACACATTCTTTTTTTACTTTCTATTCTAACTTCTTATTCCAGTTCAAAGTCAGTAGCAAAATTCACATTATTAATCATAAAGAAAAATGAACAGCTCTGAATAAAACTGAATAGTGATTTTATCAATATTCTTTTCTGTTGCTGTTTTATGTTTGAAGTAAAATTAGTTTATTTTTTATAATATCACGTGTTCTTTTTGACATATACAATACCGGTCAAAAGTTTGGGATCAGAACCATTTTTAATGTTTTTTGCAGGAGTTTCTTATGCTCATCAAGGCTGCATTTATTTGATAAAAAATACAGGAAAAAATTTAATATTGTGAAATATTATTATGATGTAAAATAAAGTTTTTCTATTTTAATATACATTAAAATCTAATTTATTCCTGTGATGCAAAGCTGAATTTTCAGCATAATTACTCCAGTCTTCAGTGTCACATGATCCTTCAGAAATCATTCTAATA